TCACAATTATACATTTCTCTTTTATGCCAAAAATCATTAGGATATTAAGTAAAGATCATGTTCCATGAAGATATTTTGTACATTTCCTACCGTAAATATATCAAAACTTAATGTTTGATTAGTAATGTGCATTGCTAAGAACTTCATTTGTACAACTTTAAAGATGATTTTCTCAATATTTAGATTTTTTTGCACCCTCAGATTCCAGATTTTCAAATAGTTGCATCTCAGCCAAATATTGTATCCATACATCAATGGAAAGATTATTTATTCCGCTTTCAGATGATGTATATATCTCAGTTTCGAAAAATTTAAACTTATGACTGGTTTTGTGGTCCAGGGTCACAAATATAAAAATAAAATCTAATTCAAAATATGAACAAAAAACTTTTTTTAGTGTATCAGTGATACTAAAATAACACTGAACCAGACGGTTTCTGCATGATTCCCTCATCTGTTCAGCCAGACGGTTTGACTGAAGTTGTGAAATATTATTAGATGAATCATGCACTTTGATCATGGTCATCATATTGGCTCATCATGTGTTTTATTGCTTTAGCGTTGAGCTGAGGCTGTGTGACTTTGAAGGCACTCAGGCTTTTAATGGAGTTCAGACAGATTCAGACGTGCTCTCTTTCCTTAAGAAACACTGTTTTCCAGTCTACAGTCCAAGAACAGTTCTTCCTCTCACTGGTGTCCACACACACACACACTGATGGACACTGACCAGATATCACTCACTAGTGTACAACAGCTGCTGCTTATAGCTCATACAGGGATTATGAAATAGATGTAAAACTGATACACCAAATCATATTTAAATAAAAATCATAAACACAATTATTTTTAACTCATTGTAATTTCCCCATTGAAAGGATAATTGTGTGTTTGTGTTTGTTTTTTTAAATTATTTTTTATTTTCATTTATAATTTTATTTTACCCATTTATTTAATTATTTCCCCCCCCATTTATTTAATTTGTATTTATTTATTTAAATTTATAGTTTTGTTTCAACCCTTTATTTATTTTCATTTATTTTATTTTTATTTCAAACTATTTAATTAATTTTATTTTATTTATATATTTATTTTCATTTTTTTGTGGTTTTATTTCATCTGCTAATTAAATTATTTTTTACTCCAGTTTATTTCATTTTATTTATTTATTTCAATTTATGATTTTATTTCATGTATTTATTTACTTGGGTTTTTTTTCATTTATTTTTTTTATTTTGAATTAATTAATTCATTTATATTTTTTATCTTTATTTAAAATTTTATGTCATCTTTTTCATTTTATTGTTTTATTTTAATTTATGATTTTGTTTCATATTTATTGAAATTACTTCATTTCATTTTGTCATTTATTTTATTTGTATTTACATTTTCTATTCTATTCTATTCTCAGCTTTCAACTATTCTGCTAATAAAAGTATCAAAACCTCACACACACACACACAATAAATGCGTCTGATATATATTGGTGTTGGAGCTCTTCATTGAGCTGCATTAGATCCTCAGAGAAATCATTCAGATCTCGTCACTCTCTCATGTAACGAGCTGTTGAGGCTGAAGACTCGGTGGTCCAGTAATTGAACAGACAGGAGGGTACAGGAGGGTCTCTGTTCAGAAGAAGTGCTGAAAAGGGGTTTTTGGCTTATATACTCCTCCTCAATCCTTGTGTTGGTGTTGAATGTGAGAAACGAATGGCGAATGTTTCCCAGACTGGAGTGTGGTTTTGCAGATGGAAAGCGTTTGGGCTGAGCAGAGCTCTGTGTGAGTGTTAATGGAGCGCAGGTCTGGCCTCTGCTCATCCAGACGTGTTGAAAGCTGCTCCTGCGTCTCTTATGTGTGCTTTGGTTGTGTTTTTCAGGTTCACACGAAGTTCCACTGCCGCCAGGCTCACGCCGCCGGATCCGACACGACCTGCCTCACTTTCTCTTACGACGGAGTAACTCTCGCATCACGAGGAGGTCAGACCCGCCGCTGCTTTCTGTCTGTATTAGGACTGGCTATATGAGACAGGGGGGAAAAAAACATATATATAGTGCTGTCAAATGATTAATCTAATTTAGAATAAAAGTTTTTTTTACATATTGTGTATATTATATTATGTATACATAAGTAAAAACACATGTATGTATACATTTAAGAAAAATATGTTATGTTTATATATTAAATATATTTATATTTAATATAAAATATAAGAAAATATGTTCTAAATATATACATGCATGTGTGTGTATTTATAGATACATAATAAATATACACAGTACACACACATATAACAAAAACTTTTATTTTGGATGCGATTAATCACAATTAATCATTTTACAGCACTAATATATAAATAAATATATATATATATATATATATATGAAGAGTTCAGATGCAAAAGCCTCTAAGTGCCGTTTGAAATTTTGTTCTAAAATGAGCATTTTTCTCAGGCTTTATTGTTTATGTTCAGTTATTTCACTTTAGTTTTTATCCAAAGCGACTTACAAATGAGGACAAAGCAATCAAAACTAACAAAAGAGCAATGATATACAAGTAACTAAATGGTGAAATTGTGATGAAACGACGGGTTTGATGGAACCACAAGCAGCGCCTGAAAATAGGCTAACTTCCGTCAACATAACCAGCGTGGCCACCTGCTTGCACAGGGAGCGTGCTGGGGACTACTTTCATGCGCTGCGTAATATCACTGCGCCTGCTGCACTCATGGTACGGCAGCAAAGTCTCTTGATTATTACACCGGAATGAGAGTATAGTTCCTAGCCATATCGGCCGAGAAAATCACAACTTTTCATTTTCCGTCGGTCTTAGTACACGACGTAACTACAGAAGAGTCGAGTTTTAAATAGGAAACGTATCGCAACTCTTTGGTCATTTTTGAGCGAGATGCTAACGGTCTAATCAGATTCAATGATCTATGCTAAGCTACAGCTAAACGTGCTACCGCCAGACCCGGAGATCGGCTGAACGGATTCGAAAACGGTAAAACTCACCTGTTTAACTCTAGGGGAGTCGGAAAATGAGCCTATTTTCAAAAATAGGGGAGTGTTCCTTTAATTTGATATAAAATTATTCATATGATTTTATTCATTCCGCCCACCGCTGTTCTGCATTGACCTTGACAGCTGCATTTGTGGGTTTTAAATGCTCAAATATATTGAATCCGTTGGAATATGCATATATATATATATATATATATATATATGCATATAAAAATACTAATATATACTGTATGTGTGTATATATATAATATATATATACTGTATATGTGTGTGAGTGTGTGTGTAATTTATTATTACTGTTACATTAATCTGAATATATTATGCTTTGTTTTAATCGTAGTATTATTATTATATCATTTCAAATGAATATAGTATAATTAATCTGCTATATTTCTTTGTTTATTTGATTGTCAGATGTGCATGTACTGGCAGCTCCGGTTATGTACATTGTTACAGTATCTAGAACTGAGAGAACCGAGGCGTCCAAATAATATGATTTTCTCTAGTAATGGAAACTCTGTCCAGTCTTACATTACTTGGTAAATGCTGTACTGTTAGATTACTTGTGCAACTGCAGACATGAAGTGAAACTTCCGCCTGTTCATTCGTCCCTGTGGAAGTGAAGGGAACGTTGTCTTCCTCCATCCATTTGCTGGAATGACACAAGCGTGACCTCGACAAGCATCCCAGCGCTCCTGAGAGCTGGATTCGTCTGAAGCGAGTGAAGTGGGTCTGGGAGCTCTTTTCTGAGTGATGGCTCAAAGCTCCCGTGTCCATCTGTGATCAAATGTGCTGTTGAGTGGGTTTCTCTCAGTCCCAGCGCTCCGGCTCTAGTCAGAACAGCGTAAAGGCTTATTCTCTCCATCTTGTCTTGAAGCTGACAGGATGGCATAATGCAGATGTTGACGTCCAGCACACTGAATACATGCAGCACAGAAACCACGGAGCAGCAGCAGTAGCATTAATCCGAAGTACATAATATTCTTTGTGTGATGAATCACAGACATTGTCCAAAAAAAAAAACTAAACACTTTTTTTTTTTTTACTGTTAAAGAAAATAATGTTTTGGATTGGTGCATTTTGCTATTAGTGGTAGTAGTAGTATATCATCCTTCTTCCAGTTGTCTTGGAGTTTGGCAGAATGAATCAGCATCCATTGCTCTTGAAAAAAGCAGCTCACACATATTCAAAAATTTCTCATTTAGAGCTTCACTGAAGAATTACATCTGGTATAATTGCAAATTAATTTTCATTATATTTTCATTAATTTGTTTATCATTATTGCAAATTAACAAAATTTTAAATATTAATTTTGTACATTTATTTCATAATATTTTATATATAAATTAATCTGACATTTCATTATTGGTGTATATGTGTGTGTATGTGTATATATATGTGTATATATATATATATATATACACACACACACACATAATTATTATTAATCTGCACTAATTAATTGTTTGATTGATTGTTTACCAGTTCAAAAATTATAGAATTGAATCTAATTTAATTATTTATTTATTTATACAGAAATCTGCAATAATTATTTGATTGTGTTGTATTTTCACAAGATTGTCGGGACAACTATAATATTTTATCCTAAATGAATAGCGTGTCACATCAACTTTTTGTCATTTTTAATAATTTTCATCTAAATAATAATATTATTTTTCTTTAATATTATGAAGCATTAACTAAGACATTAGGCAATATGTGCGAGCTTCTCTTTTCCAAACAATGACGATAAATACTGATTTATTCTGCCAAACTGCAAAATACCCCCATCATTTATGTCCGGCATCGGTAGAATCACGTTAGCAGTGGTGGATGGCTCTTGTTCGCTGAAAAAACTTTGGCCCGTCCAGAAGACTAAAGTTATTTATAGCTGACCTGACGAGGAGCTGTTTACAGTGTTTATCCAGCGCAAGACGGCTGAAGAATTTAAGTGCTGTCTTTATGAAGTGCAGCACCAGGCCGTCCTGTGACAGGAAGAGCTACCAATCATTCAAGTGTAAACACAGGCCGTAACCCCGCAGCAGGGTCGCGCTCTGTGCCGGGACATAGACACATCTCCAGGCTGGAAAGAGTAAATACTCCAGGGGTGGTTCTCAGCTTTGCTGACTTTTTCACAAGGTGCAAAAACCAGGTGAGACGTGCGTCCTCCAGGACGCCTACTGCTCCAGTGCTGCTTGAATTGAAGTGATATAGTGTTTATTTAACTGTCTTTGTGGGTATCTCAGAGTGGTTTGCCTCCTCTCTAAAGGATAGGACATTTGTTGTGAATATAGGATGTTTTTCGGCCCCTGTAGTATGTGGTGTTCCCCAGAGTTCGATTCTGGGACCACTGTTGTTTTCCCTATATATGCTTCCTTTGAGGTTCATCTTTCGGAGGTACAGTATCTTTTACCGCTGTTGCGCTGACGATTTTTAGTTTTATTTTCCAGTGACATTTGGAATGCGACTGTATGTCCGAAAACTAAAACCGATCCGGGAATGCTCAGACTGAAGTATTATAATGTTTAAGTGTTTTTTGTAGGTATCTCAGGGTGGTTTGCCTCCTGTCTAAAGGACATGACATTTGCTGTGAATAAAGCAAATTTTCCTCCAAGCTGGCCCCTTTAGTATGTGGTGTTCCCCATGGTTCGATTCTGGGACCACTGTTGTTTTCCTTTTATATACTTCCTTTAAATTATATCTTTCAGAAGTACAATATCTCTTACTACTGTTACACTGACCGTTTTTAAATTTAATTTTCCAGTGACATTTGGAATGTGCCTTGATGTCCGAAAACTAAAACAGATCCAGTGCTGCTGGGATTGAAGTGATAGTGTTTATTTTAAGTGTCTTTGTAGGTTTCTCAGAGTGGTTTGCCTCCTATTAAAGGATAGGACATTTGCTGTGAATATAGAAAATTTTTCCTCCATGTCAGCCTCTTTAGTATGTGGTGTTCCCCAGGGGTCTATTCTGGGACCACTGTTGCTTTCCCTATATATGCTTTCTTTGAGTTACATCTTTAGGAAGTACAGTATCTCTTACCACTGTTACGCTAACAATTTTCAGAAAACTAAATCAGATCCAGTGCTCCTCAGATTGAAGCAATATAGTATTTATTTAAGTGTCTTTGAAGTTTTCTCTGAGCGGTGCTACGAAACAAGTCGTGCTCTGGACTTGCACAGAAAGACTAAACCTAGAACTAAAATATAAACTTTGTGCTAAAAGCTTGTTAATGTTAAGACAGACTCCAGGTGACCTTCCTGTCTTAGTCTGTTTTCACCCCTTTTCTCCTGCGTCCGCAAGTGTATTTTTTAGTCTAAACCTTATTTCATTGCATATCTTTTCACTGGTTTGAATCGGAGTTGAAAAACCCCTTTTACATCAACAAAACAAATCAAACTGTGACGTGAAAGTGACCTTGTGTTTGGTTGCAATGTAGTTAAATTATTGTTATTACTGTTATTATTATTATATCTATTTTATTTTTCTTAATTTAAATTAATATTGATTTGTTGTTATTATTATTTATTGCAAATTAATATATAGTCATTCTTAAATGAATGATTTTATGTATCTTGCATGGTATATACTTTGTTTATATATTACATTTAAATTAAAAGTGAATTATTTTATAGATATAGTATATAATTATATATCATATAATTTTATGTATATTTTATATGTGTGTATACTGTATACGTATCTATGTATGTAAATATAATTCCATTATTAAGTAAAAATAGAATCATCTTATTATTATTATTGCTACTTTTTTATTTATTTGTTTGTTTATATTTATTAATTTTTTTATTGTGTGACGTGAAAGCATCCTTGTGTCTCCTGGGTGAATGGGCGCCATGTTGGGTTGAGTTTGGCACACACTCATCCAGTCAGTAAACAGCTTATTTTGTTTAGAAAAGATGGAAGATTGAATATGATGCTGAAATGTCACTTCAGTCTTTGCCAAAACCGCAGTGAATGTGCTCAAGAAACATCTGATTCGCTCACATCGCCATTATTATCATTCCTCCTAGTGCTTGTAGAAACATTTGAGCTGCACATAAATACTGTGCATTGTGAGTGTTTGTTTCTCTGGCACATGATGAACAGCTGTAGATGCATGCATATATCGCTATTTTCGACAGTTCCCATGTGTTGCTTGTCCTGATGTTTGCTTTCCTTACCCAGGGTCTCTGTATGGCACGATTAAGAGTAATGGAGAGGTCAGATATACAGATGTGCACGATCTAAACCCAATGATACAGTATCTGCAAGGTAATGGAGCGACTAAAGGAGATAACGTTTGTATTCGGCCAAAAAAGGCTCAGCTGGAAGCGCATTTCAGATCCGCAGCCAAATCTTCCAGATCTTCTCTAAATAATCAATTACTCGGCCACATGCCCATAGAGACGGATTAACCCCGTACATCCCGTTAAGTCAATAAGGGCCAGAGAAACCCCTGCTACGGTCCTGGGGGAGGGAGAGGGTCTAAAGCCGGATTCTAGGTCAGGCAGGCTTAACGCAGTCCGGCTGGAGGATTCAGGCAGAAACGAGCCCGGCGCTGAACAGCTGGAGGCTAAGCAGATTTCACCCCCATGCCTCCACAGGTCTTTCCTGATCTCAACACTGCATACACCGCAAGATCTGTTTGGAAAGAGTTTCTTGGACATAGCATGATTTATTATGCTCCTCTTGTGCTGTTAACTCATCTCAAGAGATCATTCTTAAAGTGCATTTGGACTCCCAATACCTGCTGCTTATTCTTTTGGTTTTCCTGTACAGCGTCATTATTTACTTACGCTCATTTTCATCCTGACCTATTTTATTTTATTTTATATACAGCATGTTTGCATGACAATGATGTTTATTTTATTTTTTATTTATTTATTTTATTTATTTCCATGCATTTCAGTGCAGCATGTTTGCATGACAGTGGTGACATATTTTCCCCTCGTTTTGATCCAAACCTTTATTTTATTTTATTTTTTCAGTTCTTTGTTTATTTTTTAAACATTTTTTTATTTGTTTTATTTTGTGGTATTTTCATACACTTTTATTGTCAGTGCTTTATTTGCATGACAGTGATGACGTCTTCTACTTTTCCCATTTTGATCCAAACCTATATTTATTTTATTTCATTTATTTATATTTATTTTATTTTGAGGTATTTTCTTACGTTTCATTACAGCATGTTTGCATAACAGTGATCATGATCATTATTCACTTACCCTCATTTGATCCAAACTTTTATTATTTTTATAAATTATTAAATAATTGTTATTATGATAAATATTATGTTTCATTAATGTTTCATAATTGCAAACAAATATATTATCACTTTTATTCTACTTATTGATTTAATTTTTTATATTTATTATATTATATATTATATTTGTAGATTATATCTTACATAGAACTTTTGAATAATAATGATAATATGTCATTATGGCAAATATACAACAATAATAATAATTATTACTATTACTACCACTACTACTACTACTGTTTTAAATGATATTATATTAATCTGCTTGTTGGGTTGGACTTTCACCAGTCACAAGCCTTTTTGGTGTTTTTCTGACTTTAATGGTGCTCTTTTGTCCTTTCTGGATGTGCTCACTATAAACCGTCATCATATAGACGTGCGCTGCATGCATGTGATTGCAGTTATTCAGGAGTCTGTTCCTCCGTCTCACACACAAATCCTCACACACGGCCCTGGCAGCGGCCCATTCGTCACAGCGAGTCTTTGAGATCCAGATCCAAATATAGTCAACTGGAGATGAGCCGGACGGAGAGAGATATTAGACGCAGTCTTTTCCTCTGCCATTGCTTTATGCTGACTTCCTGCTCAAATAATGAGTTCTCATCTGCTGTTGTTTCAGAGCGTCGTCCGCTGTCTTTGGCATCCCAAGCTGAATCAGATCATGGTCGGGACGGGGAACGGCCTGGCGAAGGTCTACTACGACCCGGTCAAGAGTCAGAGGTGCAGTTGCTTTGCTGTCCGTCTCAGTCCCGCTTCACACTCTTCCCTGTTTATCCGTCTGTGTTTGTTCAGTAATGATTCCAGCCGGGTTTGGACTGATTGAACTGAACGACTGAAGCGAGGAAACTCAACAAAATGACTCCATTAGTGTCGACTGAGAGCAGAATCAATTGTCTGCACGTTTACATCAAAGTCACGTCCTGTTGACAAGCAGAAGAAAGGCTTTCACGCTATATATACAGTGGCATGTGAAAGTTTGGGAACCTCTTGCAGAATCTGTGAAAATGTGAATAATTTTAACAAAATAAGAGAGATCATACAAAATGCATCTTATTTTTTATGTAGTACTGTCCTGAGTAAGATATTTTACATAAAAGATGTTTACATATAGACAAAAAAATAGCTGAAATTGTTAAAATAACCCCCTTCAAAAGTTTGTGAACCCTTGGTTCTTCATACTGTGTGTGTCACCTGGATGATCCACGACTGTTTGTGTGTTTTGTGATGTTTGTTCATGAGTCTCTTGTTTGTTCTGAACAGTTCAACTGAGCTCTGTTCTTCAGAAAGATCCTCCAGCTCCTGCAGATTCTTCAGGTTTCCAGCATCTTCTGCCGATTTCAACCCTTTCCAGCAGTGACTGTATGATTTTGAGATCCATCTTTTCACTCTGAGGACAACTGAGGGACTCAAACACAACTATTAAAAAAGGTTCAAACATTCACTGATGCTCCAGAAGGAAACACGACGCATTAAAGGTGCAGTAGGAGATCTTGGAAAATGATAGTAATAATAATAACTTTAGCCTGATAGCACTGAAAGCGAACGTCCCACAATCCCTGCAATCGCCGTCCTAAGCCACGCCCCCTTAACGCATTTACGCTCACAGACTATGAGACTATGTATGCTAATACATACATTGACAGGCAGGTAGGAAAGCATATTAAAACACTCGAACCGAGCGTTTTGATTGGACGAACATTTCTTGATCCTACGCCTTCCACAGAATATATAAATACAGACAAATACATTTAGACCACTTAACTTAATGATTGCTATCGGGATGTGAAGAGACTTTCAACCAGCATAACAAAAAATGTTTCTGAAGACAATCACCTATTGCACCTTTAATTTGAAGATCAAGGTAAATTTGACTTATTTCGTCTTCTGAGATGCTTCTGAAGGGCAAAACTAAATGGGGAAAAAAATCCCAACCAAAGAAAAACCCCAAAGAAAAATTTGGACATCTTCATCCTCTTCAAAATCAAAATTCAAAAGTTTTCTCTTGCTCTTAATGCGTCGTGTTTCCTTCTGGAGCATCAGTGAATGTTTGAACCTGTTTTAATAGTTGTGTTTGAGTCCCTCAGTTGTCCTCAGAGTGAAAAGATGGATCTCAAAATCATACAGTCACTGCTGGAAAGGGTTCAAATCTGCAGAAGATGCTGGAAACCTGAAGAATCTGCAGGAGCTGGAGGATCTTTCTGAAGAACAGAGCTCAGTTTAACTGTTCAGAACAAACAAGAGACTCATGAACAAACATCACAAAACACACAAACAGTCGTGGATCATCCAGGTGACACACACAGTAT